GCCGTCACTAGTTCTCATTTTCCCGAGTCTGGTTGCTCAGCAACGCACTTCCGGAAAGTTTAATAATATTTATTATTGTCAATAATGAGCTGCGTCGATAACTACGGATCCGTGCGACCGTTCCTCACTAGATTAAATTATTACTGTTTTAGACAGGAAAGAAACTTCGTGCTGGAATCTAATTTCGAATGAGCAGGCCCTGAAATGAGCATTGCACCCCGTAGGTCTAGTACTATGCGAGCAAGCAATTTTTTCTAATAATTGTTTTTAATGTGGATCGCTTCTCTTGAATATTCAATATATATTCAAATTGTTTGTTTTAGTTTCTAAATACAATGTCAGAAGAAGTAGTATAAACACATCGAAAGCAGCCTGTGTTGCAATTTAATGTGAACTGTTTTCACTGTTAATTAAAGACCGCCGAAGAAGATATTGGAGGAGCGGAAATCGCGATGAGGGAACCCAAGGTGGGCGACTAGAATTTTCGTAACATAATTACACATAATGATGATACCTCAAAACATCAGCTTAAAGCAGGTGTCGCGGGGAAATGAGAAAAGTAATGGATAATATTATGAGGCGAGCAGAATCTCCTTCAAAAGTCTTGCGAGCAACTCTTACTAGTGTGGTGTCTACCCGACAAAAGAATGATGAAGAGTCAAACAGTCGATTACAGGATAAATTTCGTGCCCCAATCCCACAACCTACAGGAAATACTTGATATTACAGACACAAACGAACTAAATATAAAGAAGACAGGAATCATGGAGATAGCGAACTAGTTTTCGAATGAATTTCTAACCTCCTACATCTTGCTGCTAGCCCATACATGTTCAGAGACGAAACTTTCAAAACATCCCAAAATAAATTTACGAAACTCTCCACAATTTACTACACCTTCAGGGACCATGTTTCCTTGTTTGTTTGTGCATTAACTGTCATAAAAACGGAACAAGCTACACTCGAATGTATTAGGCTTGTTTGGAAGATGGCTCACAAGCCAATATTCATATCACGCCAAGAACTTGTTGTTGGACTTCGAAAGAACAAATATAAAATCTGTTGCGGAAATATTCCCAAAAGCAAGAGTAAAATGATGTTTTTTTTCTACTTCATTTCGAAGTTTTTGATGTAAAATTGACCACGCAGTGTTGCAAAGACTATTCCCTTACAGATTATTAATTTTGCTGAGATGTAGCAATGCTGTTTGGACTTCCATTCGTTCCTTTGCGAGATGTAGATGAAGATTTCGATTGTGTGGTAAAAGGGGATAATGTGGAAACTGAAGAAGTTATAGATTAGTCGTAAATAGTTTACGTGTGGGAAATTTGTGCGCGAGAAAGGAGAGCAATTGGTACGAAGTTTTCTCCAGTAGCTGGGAATGCACTAAGTATCGAATTCTTGAGTGGTGATGCTGTTGAAGAAAGGCATAACAAAATGTATAAATTAATAGTTGCTATAATCTCCGCATTTAGAAGTTTCTCGAAATCGTATTGAGAAAATAGGACACCAGCATTTGCAGCACATTGTACATCAAGCAAGGGAAATTTCAGACAAGCTTGCTTTGATTACATCGATGTGTGCTTCCAATTTTTGAATAATTATGTCATAATCAGCGATCACACATTTTTTAAAAGTAAACGAAGTGAATAAATTAAACGCGTAATAAATTGACCTCCGGCAGGCAGACGGACGGACATACAAACAGGCGTATTGCCGTCAATTGATTTTTCGTTATCAAGGACCTATTAGACATGCATTCTGATTAAGCAACGTGATGTAGTAATTTACTACATGTAGGTACATGATTCATTCACTTTTTTGTTTCTAAGACTTGGTAAAAAGAGTTTTCATACCGAAAAATTGCAGAAATTGTACGATATTTTCTGTGTATTGCAATATATTAGAAAGTAAAGAGTTACACTCGGTAGATTGCCTTAAAACAAAACAAGAATTTCAGAAAAAAAGTGTTCCTAATAGGATCTGTCTTAGATAGATTTTCAGAATTAATAAACCAGGCAAAAATGGAAAGTATTTTACATTTAAAATTGTAACCCATGTACTTCTTTAATACTTTGCTACTCAATTTTCCAATTTTACTACAATATATTTTTACAATAAATCCTTTCTTATTTTGAAGAAAAATATCCCTTTATTTAATTATAATGTTTAATAAGAGATTTTTATATTCACTACACCATAATCAGATTATCAAATATCATTTTCTCATGTTTACATCTCAAACTGAATTCCATTACCTCTCCCTTTCTCCCTTGTTCTCCGAAGTTTGTAATAGCATTAAAGCAAAACTCTTCTCTCTTCTTGGCAATTGTGTGGAGTCACAATGTCACCCCTCAGTTCTGCTTCAACAGAGCGAACCCCTGCCGACTTTGACAGACTTCTGGGATAGCACGCAATAACGGGATTTATTCTCTTACTGATAATTAAAAAAAGGTTTTACAATATTACTAGCTGCAAAACACACTGTTAATTGACTACTCTCTATAAACGACAGCTCACTTAAGAAACTGTCTCTGGATTAAATCACCAACGAAAAATTATAAGAAATGAAGTACTAGGGCAATCCCACGACGAATTTGAGTGAGCGGTTACAATATATATCTGTTTCATCTCGTTTATTAACTACACATGAACGTATACTTAGAATTAAACCGCCTACAATAAAGGATATTAACAAAGTTTTGTAGTTCACACCAACTGTAAATATTAGCTAGTACTTTTGTTTTGATGCCTTGAGGTCTTGGTATGTTTGTCGTGTGACATGAGTCTTAAATGTCTGTATTTTTCTAATCGTTTTTCTATTTATCATTTTAACGTAAGTAGATATCAAAGTTTTTTTCGAATATCTATCTATCTATCTATCT